GATTTTGACCAATTGTATTAGAATTGCTTCTATGTTTCTTCCGACATACACTTGCTTTTTAAAACTGCCTCAAAAATTTATATTTAGGAGTCAAAAGCCAAAAATAGATAACCATCAGTCTGGTCTTAGACGCTTGACATTTGAAATTTTAAAACATTCAAGAACATATTTTCCCCTACTGGAAGACATCACAATTGCTTAGCTTTTAAATGAGAGTCTGACTTTAAGTGTTCTCTATTATACATCATGCATCAGCTTATATTTCCGTTATTACTAACTGCTTATTAGTAGTTAACTTTAGAAACTAATGTCTTTTACAGTTAAATGTTTTACAGAGAGAAAAAAGACATGCTTGGTTTTAATGTTGGAGGTCCTGGCACAGACGGTGTTTAAGGCCACTTTGGTGGTCTGGCAAGACTGTCTAGTAAGGAGTCTTCTGGTTGGACAATGAGTGGTATTTACGAATTTGTCCATGACCTCTTTTCTTTGTGCCCCTCCAGTCTCCAGTGTCATCATTAATTAGTCTTAGGTCTCCCATTTGTCTGTTAGAAAGCGTCTTGAGTAAGCCAAGTTAATAAATTGGAGTGTGTGAGCTGCTGGCGACCGGAACATGCAACTGTGCAGGGGCAGTTGGAGGGCAGCTTTCTCCTTTGATCCTGTAGAGACGTTTAATTCCAGCAGGTCGCACGGGAGTCCCGGCCTGGTGGGGTACAGAGGGGTCCTCTGAGCACACCCTTGGGACTGCTGTCATTTGTCCTGGTTTTACTTTCTAATTTCTAAAACAGGGGGCTCCAAGACATGGAGAATGATTTCACAAGTTTTCTTAGATTTTTGGAGAATTTGTGGGCGTTCTTCAGTGGATTCTCATGATAGGTGGTGGGATCTCAGCAAGGGGATGAGAGGCATTACTCCCACCTTCTAAATGGATTAAAGTGATCGAAAACCCAGCTTCTTCAGCGTTTAGTCCCCAGCTCTCACACTGTAACCTTCCTGCTGTGAAATGTTTCCTGACCAGTTTTACTAGCTCATCATAGTAATACATAATAGTTCAGTTGTTTGCTAAGGCTACACACACTGAAAACTACTTTTACGCGTTATTTCCTGTCATACTGGAAGAAAGGGGCCATCATTTGCAGATAAGACAAAAAACCACAGCCCACCTGAACTCAGGGAAGTCTTGGTCCAAACACAAAGTTATATGGCCCATAAACTTTGAACAGTTTTATGGCCATCCCATTTGTCACTACTGTTAGGACAAAAGAAGAGCTACAAAGAATAGTCTTTTCAGAAGTTGGTTTCGTGACTATGGACCCAAGCTCTTTTTATTTTGCTTAGTAAAAGTAACCTTTGCCAGGCATGGCTGTGCATGTCTTTAGTCCCAGCACTAGGGATATAGAGGCAGGTGGATCCCTGTGAGTTCCAGGCCAGCCTGATCTACGAATAAGGAAAGCCAGGGCTCTTACACAGAAAAATACTATCTCAATAAACCACAAGAGACAGGGTGGGGAGAGAGAGAAGAGGAAGGGAGGAAAGCAGGGAGGGAAGGGGAGAGAAAGAGAGAGACAGAGAGAGACAGAGAGAGACAGAGAGAGAGACAGAGAGACAGAGAGAGACAGAGACAGAGAGACAGAGAGACAGAGAGAGACAGAGAGAGAAACCCTGAAGGGATCACCCATGCTTTCAGCTACTTCTCATTTCTAAATTGATAACATGACACATTATTTGTGCTTAAAAAAGTAGTTCTAAAAATAGTTATTGGAACTTGAATGTCACTGAAGGTTTTTTTTTAATTTAAAGAATTAACGATTTATACTGTGAGAAATTGTATAGCTTTGTGTATTCTCAGAGTCGTAACTGCATATCAGGAGAAGAGCATGTCACTCTGAAAGTTCATTGTCAAGTGATGATTCAAAGCAGAAATCCTTCAATGTTTATCTGAGCAGTCTCTATGCCCAGTGGGTACGATCATCTTCGCTACCTTACTTATGCTGTGTGGGAGGAGGTGATGGGCAGGGCTGGGGGCATAAAAGTTTGCTAAGCCAGGGGCTAGCAAGGTGACTCACCCAATGAAGTGCTTGCCAGAGAAGCATGAGGACCTAAGCTCAGCTCACTAGCACCCATGTCAAAGCCAGGCATGACAGTACTGGCCTGGGGTCCCAGTGCTCAGAAAAGCAAGGACAGTCAGATCTCAGGGCCTAGCTGGCAAGTCATTGGTTCAGGAAGGAACCCTGTTTCAAAAAATAAGATGCAGAGTGAAAAGAAGGTAATGAGTGTCAACCTTTGGCCTTCATGCACACACATGCACGCACACACACACACACACATGCACAGACACATTAAACATGCACACACACATGGAACATACATACACAGATGAAAATTTTGTACATACAGTAATCCCTTTTAGATGGACTTGGGACCACCCATTATGACATCCTCACACTTTAGCCCCGCCATTACTCTGTCATCCAGATCTGTTTATTACACCTTCGAATGTGTCCCAGCTCTGTCTACCCCTTCTCTTTTTCTCTGTCCTCAGGCAGCGCTCAAGCTCAAAGCACTTCTGTTTCACTGTTTTGTCAAGAGAATGATGATACAAGGAGGTATTTTTACCATTGAGCAAATGGTTTATCTACTTTGAAAACAGGAAACAGGAATCTGACAGTGGTAGAATAGTTATAGAGTACTTTTAACAGAGAAGACCAAAAACACTTTCAAAGAAAGGTAAAGATGTTCAAATAAGTATGGTTTTTTTTGTTTGTTTTTACAACTTACTTATTTATTTGTTTTATGGCAAGTGTGTGCACACATGCAGAGACCAAAGAACAACTTTCAGGGTTGATTGTGTCCTTCCACCATGTGAGGCCAGGAATCAAACTCAGGGCAATGGGCATGGTACTAAGTGCTCTTATCCACTGAGCCATCTCCCTGGCCCCAGAAACAAGCATTTTGAAAGGGCTTGGCTGCTTTTAAGGAAACTCTTCTCCATGTGTTCCAAGGTAGGATTTGTATTTGTCACCTTGGTAACTAACACTGGAACAGTTGTAGTAGTAGACATTCTAGGAGAGCTCTAGTCAAAGGTCTTAGAAAACAAGAGTGTGGGTAGAAGACTGAAGAGGGGCACTCCTACACTGGGATCTAGGAGCCCCAAGCTACGGTGAGTGCTCAGAACCCTGAGAATGTGCGTTAGGAAACAACACAAGATTCCCCCAGTCATGTTCCCACCATCTTCTAGTCACCCAGCATAGTTGAAGAATCTAGAAATCTGGTTGCCAATACAGCAAATGAGAAGTGTCAACTCCTGCCTGCGATACCAGCACTTGAGAGACTGAACCAGAATTCAAGGCAAGATTCAGACTGTCCAAAAAAGAGAAGAAAGTGTCAGGGGACAACTACTTGGAGAGAACACTGAGTCACTTTGCTTGTTAAAACAAACAAACAAACAAACAAACAAACAAATGCTGGGTAGGATGTTTCTGATGTAAATAAAAGTCCCTCCCCAACTGCTCACTTCCAAAATGCCTTTCTTTTGTGTTTGTAGTCTTCCTAGATATAAAGTATACATTTCTATACCTTCCCCTCCCCCATCCTTAAGAAGGGTTTCATATGGTACCAGTCCAGACTAGAGCACTCTGTGTAGCTTAGTTGATCCTTACACTCACGTCCCATCTGCCCCAAGCACTTCGAAGGTGTACACTACACAGCTAGCTGTTTCTCTATTTTATTTTAACTTGGTAGCATGATTTGCTCATGATAAAAAAAAATCCAAGACATTAATTTGGTTTCTTAGACAAGAGTTTATCAGTAATTTCCAGCCATGACCAATAGTTGAAGGCACTATATCGAAAATATAGGAAGGCATCTTTTGCCTGAGTTAACCACTCTTCTTGATTATTGTGGTCTCTGTGTAACCAAATCTGGTTCAAGGCAACCTGCTTATCTAAGGAGCAATTTGTAGTAACTTCTGGGTGTCCTGTCTGAAGCAGATCTAGTGAAAGGATTCCTGTGTTAGTGAGGCTGGAGGTGAGCAGTGTGAGGGCAAAGGGCCCTCATCTGTAATCAGTGTGCTGGAGACTCAATAGGAAGAGCAAGGCAGGTTATTTTATAATTGTGAAAGGTTGCACTCCAACCCAGCAAAATAGACGGCATCAGTTGCTTTCTGAGAGGAGTACTTAACCCTGTAACTCAGGTCCCTCTCTCCCTTTCTTCATTGGTCAAGCAATCAGGGAAGGGGTACTCAATCTTAGCCATCACCTGCTATTTAAATTTGTCTATTTCCCCATCAAAGCCTGCAGGTGGGTTTATTTCTACATTTTGTATCTTATTTATTTTTAAGCATTTTTAGGTGGGTTTAAGTGCCCAAGTCTGTGGGTCAGTAGGCCAGCTTGGCTGTTAATGCTTTTCTACTCTGAACATGTAGTTAGGGTGAGGAGAGATGGACTTGGATGTAGCAGTTGGGGTCCGGTGTTTTCTGTCCTGCTCAATGTGGTAGCACATGTGCTGAATCTTAGCACGTTCATCTTGAAGATGGGCCTGTGGTTTATTTATTTAAGTGAGAAGCTTGAAGAGCACATACAGCACTTCTAAACGGAACTGGAGCACACATCATGAAGATTCTCTAACCTGATGGTTCCAGGCAATTTAGATTTGTGGGAACTTGAGCAAAATCTCTTTCGTTCTATGGATCGAAGATGGCCAGGGATGTTCGTTCCTTGGGATCAGTCCTTAAGTACCCTCGACCCCCATTATGAGGAACAAAAAAGCAGAATACTTTACCTGGGACAAATGAGAGATCTTTTTGTGAATGACTAAAAGGAAAATTGAAAGTTGTGCATTTTCCTATTCCCAAAGAGAGGTGTAGACTGCTACTTTTCCCCTTGGAGTTGGTTAAACTGTGATTGACAAGGACTCTGTATGGCTGATAATGTAACACAGTGCCCAAGCAGGCCCTCAGCAAGTATGTCTTCTTGATTAAGTCTAATCTACACCTCTCTTTGCAGCAAGTGAGCAACAGATGAAGCTGGTGTGCAAGGAGTCCCCACGGGAGTATCTGCAGCCTTTCAAGGACAAACTGGAGGAGTTCTTCAAGAAAGGTAGGAGGCTTTTCAGCTGTATATCAAGGGTACTCATCTGGATCCATGGTCCATTGTCCAATGGTAGTTTCATCCTCAATGTAGATTGAGTTGCCTCATAGCTTCTATGTCACCTTACCAGAACATTTCATTCTTTAAATCATTCATTGTTATTCCTGCTTTTGAAATATTTTGAGAGTAAACCTTCTTGTCTCTTCTGGACTGTAGGTATCCTTGATACATGTTAACTAAACACAGTGTGTACACGTAAGGCTTACGTAGTCCTCAGCTCAGATTGATGGTCACCCCCTGACAGGGAATTATATTGCTGGTCTCATGAACATGTCAACTTGGAAATTTGAAATTTGTTGTTGTTTGTTGTGTTGCTTTTTTCATTCCTTTACAGAGAGGCAAACTGGGGCCCAGTGAATGTCATCATCCCACTGCTTGGCACTCATTGGTTCTTTAGGATACCCAGAAGATCCAACACTTACTTAGAAACCTTTGCAGGTTCTGAACCTGCCTCCATATTGTTTGGAGAACTAAGATGCTTTTATTGATCAGGGTTAGTGAACGTGAAAATACAATGCTTCTATATATTTCCTATTTTAATTTCCCAAATTCAGTTCAAAATTCAAAAGAAAACTATGGGGTTTTTGAAGGAAGCTCTCTTCTTTACTAGAAAGCCAGAGAAAATGCATGCAGGGACTATTGGAGAAATTTCAACATGCTGTTTCCATTGCCAGATAAGGACACATGATACCACACCATCAAAAGGCTGCTAAGTTGGGTCAATTGACAAAGTATGGACAAACCACCTTGGAAATTAGCAGAGAAATTCTTAGACCATGAGTCACAGGAACTCCATCCCAGCTTCTCCCTCTGTGCAGAGATCTCTGTTCTTTCCTTTCTCCAAGGCCTTATTTCCATGAAGGCAGAAGGCAGGGTTGGTTTTGTTCAACCTCATGTTTGATGGGAGTAATGGATCAGGCACAGTACCATCTAGAGAGCACACAATGACACCAACATTTTGTACTATGTGACTGTGTATAGGTAGGCTTTTAAAATGTGATTCATCAAGGTAAATGTGTTGCTTTATGTGGTATACCATATATACATAAACTGTAGAAGCTCCCATAACTGGAAGATACTTCTATTTGTTACCCCTAATTTATGACTGTTTCTTTTCACATATGAAAACTGAACTTGAAATGAGGTACATACGGCTTAGATTCTATATTTTTAAAATTTTCTATTATTCTATAGCTGGAAAATTCCAAAATGTATATATTGGAGTTTTATCTGCCTGCATATCTTAATAGGCTTAAATTCTCTCTTTAAAAGAACTAGTGTCTTAATACATTGAGAATTTTATTATTTTGATGAAAAGAGGTAAATATGAATAGGTTAGAACCTTGAAAATCTTTCATATTTAAGAAATTTACTAGGTTTCTCAGCTCAAGAAAGGAACCCCTAAAGTAGTTCTTGAGAATTTCAATTTTCGTTTTAGTATTTTGATCATATCTACCCCAGCTCCACCCAGATCCATTCTCTTCTCTCTTTTCTTATTTAACTTTTGAATTTTCTTCTTAAAAAACCCATTGGGTGCAGTTTATATTAACTAACTGTACTTGGGAGTGGGGCCTGCCATGCTACATTACACCATTAGAAAAATAGCTCCTTAGCTATCAATAGGATTTCATGCTCACCCCAACCCTCATTCCAGGATTTTGTCTGGCTTGATCTCGTACAGATCTTATGCATGTTGTTACAATCTGTATCAGCTCATTGTGCAACTTCCCTGTTGTATTCAGAAAACACTATTATAGTGACAAACGAGACCATGGTTCTGTTGTTTAGTGGTCTATAAGGAACTTCCCATGGTTCT